TGGGCATTTGAAAAATTGGCTGCTCCACCAAAAGCTCAAATCCACACATACATTAAAGCTTTTTATTTCTTTGTTGTTTCATCAAAACCTCAGTTTGTGTTTGGACAGGAAGTGAAAACAGTGGAAAAACACATTTTATTGAAATAGAGCGTAGTACTGTAGATGGCTCTAAATATTATTATAATTTTTTTAAATTTCTAATCTAGAGAACGCTTTCACATCAACAAATATGAATTATGAAAACTCCACCAATGCTTCACTTCCATATTTTCATGTGAACACCTTAGGACCTCACAATTTATCAACAATCTCATATAATCAGCCCAGAACCACTGGATCCTACTAAGACGATTGGATCTCTTTGATGACCTTTTAAGCTCTGCAACATAAAATGCTTATAAATAAATAGAAAATATAAATAAGCAGCCAACGTAGCCCTTTGCACACGCAAGTAATGATGTGATGTTTGCGCTGGGTGACTTAATGAGCATCTCCGGAGGCAGCAGGTACGTCTTCTGCCCCTCCAGCTGCCCCAGAGCAGCGCCCTTCTCTCTCAGCATCATTAACTCAGACTCAACAACAACGATGACAAAAGCCCACAGTCACGTAACGAGGTTAAGTAACATTTTTTACAAGCTGGGACCATAATAAATGCCACGTTGCACAACGTGTCAACAAACAGAGCCATCATAATGAAGTGGATTAACTAAGAAACTGAGACGGATCATCAGCAGGGTGTACAAAAAACAACGAAAAGGAAGCGTTAAGAAAGGTGTACTGAAGCAAATGAAAACAGAATATTCTTGTGGTGTCTAATTATGTTGTAAATGAGTAACTAATCGAGGAGCTCTTTTCATGAATGGCCAAACAGACTAGATCTCTGGAGAGAAGCTGCTAAAGTCTGATTAATCTAGTTCAAGACGTCTAAGAGCTCTGTTTTCATTTGTTGCCTTACAGGGTGCATTCGTTTTCTCTTTCAGACAAACAGCTCTTCATCTATCACATCCCGAGCTGAAACACACCTGTTGCATAGCTGGCACCAAACACACACACACACAGAGGAAAGCAGAGCCTGGGGGAAACTAATGTTCAGTGTGCTTTGTCCTAAATATTAAACAAGCGCTTCCTGCTTGAAACCTGCTGAAGACAGCGACTTCCAGATAGACAAACGGGAGGCAGATGTGCTGGAATCCTCCACGGACGACACTGCCCTACTTGTACAGAGGTGACCCCCGCGTGTTCTGCATGGCCCGAGCATTCACCGCTGTTATTTATGAGCTCACATGTCCTATCGCAGGGAGATCAGCTTCCACCTGTTTACCAGCAGCTTAACGTACAACACAAATGTGCACCATAAAGGTGACGGTAGAGGGGTCTGAGTGGAGCTAACCTGCAAAACAGGCCGAACACTGACCATCTTATTCAGTGGTGGCTGGCCAATAGCGCCCCGCAAGGGTGCCACCCCACCACTCACCACGTTACCTTAAATAAGATATTAAAAAAAAGAAATAATAAAATAAACATATTTTGAAATACATGTATATATATATATATATATTTTTAGTTGTGTACGATAAAAATGTTATAGTTAATGATGAGTAAAGTTGTTTTGTTCATCAACATTGTCTGATTGATGACATATTTCCGCCCTGGGGCCCAAACAATCTTTGCCCATAGATTCTTGTTTAAAGTTGTACATGTGCAGTAGCTCCTCTTCAATACAAGAGACAGGACCATTCTGGGGCGCACCTCTCCTGCGCCCAGAGCTGAATGCAGCTTGATTTGCACATCATTCACCACCCTCCCACGGTGGGAGGGTAGGACTCCCGCTGCAGAGCTGACGTCACAGCTGTCTGTCATAAGGTTTCCCTGATTGACAGGCTACTGCATGTAGGCAGGCTAATACTTTCTTTACTGCCATAATTTTAGTTCATGTATTTTATTTTGCATTATGCATATTTCTCGCGTCATGGCATTGATTTAGAAAAGTTCTAGGTAGGAATTAATGTGTGGGATGCTGGTTCCACTGGGGCACAAAAAAAGAGAAGCACCCACTGGTGAAGTATGAGCAACATAACAAGTGGCAGCAGAAAAGGCCAATTTGAGTTAAAAGAGTTTAATGAATGCTTAAAATAAGTTGTAAGTATTTTGTTTCTACCTCTAAGTAAGGGTCAGCCAGCAAAGTATGTTTTGCATGTTATATATATCATTTATGCATTTATTTAATTCATTGCATCTCTTTGAAGTTTATGTTGCATTTTAGTTTGACGGTGGCGTAGCATTGGCAACAAGGTGGTGCTTCAACAACACAACTGTAAGCTTCTACATCCCATATTAAAGCCAACTTCATACCATCAGTAAAATAACTTTATTGACGTTAAGAAGAGGTGGAAACAGAAGCTTTATTCTGATTTCCCAGCCACCTTTTTCAAACATCTGGATCTGACTCAGCATGGATTAAGGCAGGTATGATTGATTTAAAGCATTTCTTAGAAAAGGCAAAGACACTTGAACAGTCTGGGATCCACATGGCAAATGCACTGCGACTAGCCATGTTTGGGAAAATAAACATTTCATCTCAGCTTGATGAAGAATACAGGCTAGGGATTCATAAGCACAATGAGGAGGATGACGAAAACAGGCACATTCTATCAAAAAGAACAGACTGTGTCAAGTTCTGTGGTGCATTTGAACTTGCCCTGTATGGCCATGATGAAAGTGAAAGCTCAGAAAATCCAGGTGTTTTAGAGGATTGGTGGATTTTGTAGCATCACTGGATGCATTTCTACACGAGCACCTGCAGACTGCCACTGTGTTCTTATTTATTTTATTATATATGTATGTACAAAAAGTAGTACACTACATGACATTATAATGTTGCTTTTATTGTTTCCATTCATGTAAATACACTGGTGTGATACCTTAGTATATGTTTTGGTATACCGGTATGTCTATTTTGGAGTTATATTCTCCCCCAGAGAAAACTCCACCAGCTGTCAATGGTCTTATTGCTACAGAGACCCAATACAAGCCATCTGACCAGGTCTTTAAAATAGATAAATACAACCTGAAAAGAGGACTAACACATAAAAAGATACAAGAGGTAATTAATTATTTATTAGTTGGAGCAGTCTGTTGGAAAATGAAGTGAATCGCATGTTTAATAGCTTGGAAAACCACTTTTAGCAGCCATAACATGGAGTAATTAGATGACCTTTTCAGTCTTTGACATTGTAGTGGAGGAATTCTGTCCCACTCTTCTTAACACCATTTCTTCAGTTCAACGACATTTTCCTTTAATGCAGAGATCAACGTACATCTTTTAGTCAGGTTGGAGCAGACTTTAACTGAGCCTTTCCAACATCCTGACTCTTTTAGTTTTCATATGTTTTTCATAGATTTGCTGTAGCGTTGTGTTGTGATCTAAGTTCTCTAAATCTAAATGATCTACATGTTTTCCAGTCTTTAGAATGTCAAACTCTAAATAGTTTTAAAATGACCTTTAGAAGCTTTCACAGCCGTGTTTTCCATTATTTTTGTGGTTGTTTTTTCAGTGTGGTCATACACACCTGAATGCTCCGAGTCCAGACCATCAAAATGCTAACAGCTCTACTACTCTGCAGATGTTCACACAAGATCATTCAATTTAATTTAATTTAATTTAATTTAATTTAATTTAATTTAATTTAATTTAATTTAATTTAATTTAATTTAATTTAATTTAGGCAGCTTTAAACATTATTTTTAAATTTAGCTAAAGGACATCGTAAAAATAATGGTGTAGTAGTAAATTTGTTTTCTCAGTCATCCAGGTATATAACAACAAAAAAGGTTGTCCAAACTTTGTGTTTTTGAAACCATTAGTGAAAAGGCCAGACTTCAGGGGTATCTGAGGCAGGCTTGAAACACAAGAGTCAGGGTGGCTTCTGGGTAATACCAGATGGCTAGGCCTCAGACTGACGAAGCCTCTTGGATGAGGGGCGAAACGTTTCTTTTTAACAAAAAAACGAAGTCCAGATGACATGATTCAACCTTTTTTGTTGTTATATACCTGGATGACTGAGAAAACAAACTTTGTTTTTATATCTCTATGTTCGAAGCCTGAAATGTGGCAAAAAGTTGAAAAATTCAAGGGGGGCAAATACTTTCGCAAGGTACTGTATTTTTACGCCGGATGTCCTTCCTGACACAGCCACAGTCCACGGAGCTACCACAGCCCTCTGTGTGGAGCAGAGAGCTGCTATCTAGGTGCCTGGGGGAGCAGATGGTGGGGGTTAAGGGCCTTGCTCAATGGCCCAGAGTGAGGCAAATGAGGGTGGAGACAGGTGTGGGTGCTTCACTAATCCCACCCACATTTTGATGTTGTCGGTACCGGGAGTTGAACCAGCGATCTTCTGATCACAGGTTCACCTACTCTAACCTCTGTGCCACCACTCCCAAGTGATTAAAAGCACTCACAGTTTATAAACAAGATTCTGGATCCAGAAATACTGGAACCAAGATTTGGACCAAGAACCATTTTGCAGTGAGATAGCATAGTTACCCATCACAACACTAGACTCCCCCATTCTTCCACATTTAATTAGACCCACATTAGCTATTTTTTATTTGCTTATTACTATTTAATGTTCAAGTGCTGCTCTGCTGTTTAAAAAAAAAGAAAGAAAGAAAAACTGGGACTGCTGACTTTTAGAACAAATTTTAAGAAGAATCACTTATAATTTGCATCACCCAGATTTTCCCATTGAAAACGGTGAACATCCCGATGAGCTAAATCACTTTTGTAAAAGGTTTTCTACAGAATTCTGACTTCTGGAGTGCAACCTTTTAAGATTTTTCACTATAAATTTTTTTTTTTTTAAATGGCACACCACATCCTTTTTATGTTCACCTTGTCTTTGTGTTCTAAAAATAAATAAAAACAAAAAATATTATTTTATTTACAAGTCAAAAGTAATTGTAGGGTTTCCTGCAATTGACTGGTATTAACAGGTGCATAGGTGTGTGTGTGTGTGGGGGGGGGGGGGGGGGGGGTAAATTAGTTGAGCCCTACCGATATAAAAATTTTGGCTATCGCCAATACCAATATTGGGCGGTGAGGGTGACCAACAATAATCAATAACAGTGAGTGGAGGTAGCCTTGTTTATTTAGCGCAGATGTTAGCAACCATGAAGCTAAGCAAATCAGATCCATGCTATAATTAGTCCCTCAGTAGGTTTACAACTGGTGCACTGGTCATAAAAACAGTCTTCCCAACTTGCGTTCAGATTTTTTAATCCTCCACTGTGCACCATAAAGTTAAGTATATTATATAAATATAAATTAAACAAAGAAACAGCCTTCCCTGTTTATTGTTTAAACGGTTGGTCTTGTATGGTAAAGGTCTAATTAATACTGACTGCGGCAGGTTTTTATTCTTTGTAGAGGAGTAAAGGTTTCAGACAAACAATGCATTTCATTGAGGACAACAAACATAACAATACTAACATTGATATATATTTACCTCTATGGAAGATTTAGTGTTCTGGATAAAGTTTTACAAGACAGTAACCTATGCTAGGTTTTCTAAATGTTAGCTTGCTAACTGAGAGGCACATAGCTAATGACAAGCGGGTTGGAGGATTGAAGACAATTAATTATTGTTGATTTGTTTTACAGATCAATTAAAATAAACTTACCATGCTCTGTTCAGCAAAATACACTGTGCATAGTGTTTAGCTGCTCCCTGCTTCAGCTGTGATGAAAGTGAAACTTAAGTGACCTGCCGTGACTTGAAAGTAATCTTCATGCACCCTCTGCTGGATACATTGTATAATTACAGCTTGTTCCCAGGATTTTAGGGGTGAAAATTAGAAGAGCTTATATCAGCGCATACTGGGATAATTATCACCAATAATGATAAATACCCAAACGTCTATATCAGCCCAAATTATCACCATATTGATATATTGTTTGAGCTCTAGTAATTAGTGACAGGTATTTGTAATATGCAGAAAAAAGTTATTTTAGTTTAGGACTATAACCAGGTCTAGTTGATGTTTCTTTTACATTTTTGTTTAGCTCTTCCATCTTTGTGGGCATCTGTTTAGAATGTAGTAGTCACGTAGGTACGTGCCACTAGTTGTAGTATGACAATATATGAGATATATATGCATACTTTTTCACGAGTTCCTCATCTTTCTGACTGTGTAATGTCGTGCATTGAATTTTAACAGAAATGCGAACGAGAGACGTTATTATCTTTGACCCATCAAATGAATGTGGTCATTTATTTTCAGAATCAAAGTTTAACATCAAACATTTACATTAATTTGGCGAAATATGAAAATAATAACAGACAAGTTTCACAAATAATGAACTTCAAATCACGCGGCGGTGATTTGAGGACTTTGCTTCAGATATTTCTAAAATATCTGTACTGATTTATGAGAGAGAGGTGAGTTTAAGATGAAATGGAGATTTATCTTACAGAGGAATATGTGAGGGAATTAATATCTGTTGACCAGAAATTTGCACGCTCCGTCAGGTCTCAGCTTGGTCACGGTACACTTTAGTCGAAGAAGAAGCCTTTACCTGGTTTGACGATAATCAGCTCAGTAAGAACCCTTCAGACTGTATCAGCGTCTCCGTTGAGAACAGCCAAAATCCTTGGAGAGTCGTGCGTGGGTCGTTCAAACAGAAATTATAATTCCAAGACGTCTCTGAATCATCCTGAACGCGTTCTGCATCCAAGAACTCTGAACTCCTTTCATTCTTTAACTCTCAGCAACTCTTCATTGTCAGCAACTCTTCTCAGATTCCAACTCTCTATCAGATTCCAACTCTCTAACAGAACCGAGAAGTTCTCACATTTTAAATGAGTTTACTTCCGGGTTTACTTTAGAGCTTTCTGATTCGTGGATGGACCAGAAAGAGGTGTGGTTTTTGACGTAAGGTATTATCAAAAGTCGAGGTCAGGGAATGAATTTGTTTTACAGACAGAAAAGATTATTGGAGAAACAGCAGACTTTTTGGAGCCTCACTCTGTTGTATCTTTCCAAATAGTAAAACATGACATCCCATTTTCAGTAAACATTTAGTTGACCGAAGCTTCAACTTTCACATACTTACGACAGCTTGCTCATTGAAGACAGAAAATCAAGAAATGCATATTAACCTGATTTCTTCTTTGAATGAGGAATAAAAATCATTACTTACTGTTTATGTAAAATAAAATGAGTAGTTCTTTTTCAACCTGTAAGCATTGAATGGAACTAACACAATTTGATTATCAAACATTTGTAAAACAGTAATGATTATAGAGGATTGTCTTTTCTGCTTGATTAATTCAAGAAAGAAAGTCATCAGATGAAATAACAGTCTCTGTCCATCTGATAGATTTGAGGTCATCAGGGTCAGATCAGGGCCAGATCAGGTTCACTACAGTCCCCCCTTTGGAAATCATCACCTGTCCATGGGGATGAATTCCAACCGTGAACTTAGACCTTCAAGTGTCCTTGAGCTTGATGTAATCCAGCAAGGATGACCAAAGTCAGAAGTAATCCATCAAGGAAGACCAAAGTCAGAAGTAATCCAGCAAGGAAACAAAGTCAAGGTAATTCCACAATGTTCTTGGTATTCCATTGTGTTGATTATAATCCCATATCGTCTCGATAATTCCATTGTAGCAATGCTTTAACCCCTTGGAAACAGAGTCTGTAATCCATTGGAAAAAGTCATATAATCCACAACGGTAAATCCACA